ATATATTATATATTTATAATTTATAATATTTATAATATTTATATAATGATTTTTGCAATCTACACTGTAGTTATTTATTTCGAAGTCATTACTCTTCTCCATTTTCGTTTTCTTTTTTCCGTTTCAGTTCTTCTTTTTCTCGCTCTTCTCCTTCCCCACCCGGCTCTGCATTTTATTTCATTTTATCATTTTTCATTCTGCATTTTATTTCATTAACATTTTTTAATTATCATTTTGTCGTTTCTTCATTTCAGCCCACTTCTTGTCCCGAGCTTCAAATGCCAGAGCTACAAAGCGCACCTACCATACTACTTGACTCCGAAGATCCTCTTATCCACCCGACCACAGCAAGTAAAGAACGACGCATCCTAACAGCCCGCTATCATGAGAAGGGAAACACGCATCAGCTCAAGAGCTGCGAGTACCACAGCATTGAGCTCTGTCCTGAACTAGTCCCCTACAAGAACTGTCTGGTCCAGTCACGCCATGGGAACAGGGCCAAGGACGCGAAAAGAAAGACTATAGCGAGCTTGAATTTTCATCATTACTTTTTGTATGGCAGACTGATGGATTATTTTTCGAACTTAGCCATCGCGAAGCAACAGCTTGAGTTGATCTCCAAGCAATGTCATGAAGGACAAACCATAGTCAGGGATAAATATCAACGATTTGTCATTGTGTGTTCCAAGTGTTTTTATGGGGGACACTTGGCTAAGGACTGTCCATATAACACTCAGTGAAGAAGGAAGGAAGGAAGGTTATTTGTTAACTGTCATTGTGTGTTGCAAGTGTTTTTATGGGGGACACTTGACTAAGGACTGTCCTTATAACACTCAGTGAAGAAGGAAGGAAGGATGGTTATCTGTTAACTGTCATTGTTCCAAGTGTTTTTATGGGGAACACTTGGCTAAGAACTGTCCATATAACACTCAGTGAAGAAGGAAGGAGTGTTATTTCTTAACTGTAATCATTGATTGTTAATAACATCCATGGATGATTTTTAAAAAAAACATACAAAAGCGTTTTTATAGGGTTAAAATACTAGCATGTAATGAAAATGTAATATTTTTACGGCCACTTTTCGAATGACATAACTGATTGAAACGACGAGGAAATGTCGTAGTGTAGACTATGACATACCGCATTATAGCTGTATGTACACATTGTGATTGGATACGTTTAAACTGCTTATAAGCCTTTACACAATATTTTCAGAATTGATTCTTTAAATAGTGAATAGTTGATTGTGAAAATAATTCGTCATTTGAATGTCGGGTCTTTGAGATACGAAGGTTTATATTTCCAATATGTTAATGACTATGACGTAACATAAGGGATTTGAGTTATTTTGTGGCAATTTTTAATATTGAACGCTGGACGTTTTTTGAAAATAAATTTGTGAGAACCTTTACGTGAGTCACGAGTAAAAGGG